ATCTATCTATCTATCTATCTATCCATCCATCCATCCATCCATCCATCCATCCATCCATCCATCTATCCTCATCATCTGCCTGCCTGTCTGTCTCTCTCTCTCTCTCTCTAGCTAGCTAGCTATCTCTGTCTGTCTGTCCCATTTCACAAATAAATGCAAATACATAAAAGTTTGGATATGGATGGATACTTCACGTTTCATTGCTAATATGTATCCTGGATGTTCAATAAAGGGAGATTTTACAGTTTTTCTCAATTGCTTTGGCACATTTTTCGAAACAAGTGAGAATCGGCTCATCAGTTTTGATCAACAAGCCATATGCAATTAGTTGTTGTGCAAACTGCAGACAATTGTACTTACTGTTTGCACACATGTGCCAAAGCATTTGCAATTTGCTCAAATCAATAAGAAATTCCAATCTGATGTGAACAAGAAGCTAATTGTTCAGAGATCTGAACTTATTGTTTCGGGAAAAAAAAGTTTAATTCGAGAATTGAGCCAAAGCAATTGAGAAAAACTGTAAACTTAAATGTCTTAAAAAGTATAACAATAACTGTGTTAACTATAGTAATTTGGTGGGATTACTGGCCCACACACTCACACTGTCTAACTCTCTCTCTCTCTCTGTTCTCTTCACCCAAAAAGAAAGAGAAAAACAGTGGGAGGGAAAGACAACTGAAGTGGGAATGTCTGAAATACACTCCCCCCCCCCTTTTTGCAAGCTGCCCTGTGTTTTGAATTGCAGGTACTGTTCAATGCTGTGCGACCGCTGGCAGCCAAGGACCTAACAGACAGTCATTCAAAACAATGATCAAACTATAAATCTGTTTGCCATCACAAACCTTGAAAAGAAGAAATTGTCTACAAATACATCTCACACATCAGGTAAGATGCTTTGATGCTCTTATTTATCTTTCTGAGTTTTGTGCACATGATGGGTTTCCATGGTAACATCTGTTTCCGTCGCACCGATTCAGTTCTTCGAAAAGCTCACAAAGCTTATTTCAGCTCATTAAAAAAGACCCCTACTTAAGTTAGTTTTAAAATCCTTGAGAAATGTTGTTCTAGTGTTGTGCGTCACTCAGTCATCCACGTCACCTCTGTAATCTTGACAGCATTCAGTAATGTAGTCTTTAATTATTATTAATTATATGAGGTGTAAATCAACTTTGCTTGACCATTTGGCATCATTTGGATATTATACATCTTTAAAGAAAAATCTAGATATCAAAGAAAAAAAAAGACCCATCTACATCAAGCTCATAAGTAGACAAGTGGGTGCAAACTGTTTTAGACCGAGGCAAAGCTGAAAAATCGTTTAATTCATTAGTACTCTTATTGTAATATTAGTATAATTGTTCTGACAGTGGTAAAATCAGGCTGTGCATGTCATCACTTTGTGTGCTTTTAAATTAGGTCAGTTTATTACATAACATTATTGTCATATTTTAAGAGGATATGATTTTGTTACATTCAGTGCTTTTATTTTGGTGCATGAATCAGGGTGGCTCTCCAAAAACAATCTGTTAAACTTGCCAGTAATGTGGTTCTTCTACCATTCTGTGGTAAAGGGTGTGGGAGTGAATTTAAAGGGAGAGAAAGAGCTCAGAGGCAGTTTAAAACCACACACACAACACGTGGCACAAAAAAAAGAACTAGTTACTGCAGATCTAGATGGTCACAGAATCTAATAAATGTGGATCAGTGGGTCTGCACATAAATGATCTATTTTAGTATTTAGTATCATCTATTTTAGTAGCATTTGTACAATTATAGTATTTATTCATATTTTGAATTGGCTTTTAATATTATATTTTCCGTTTTCATCTAGTTTTAGCAATTTGATGCACATTTTTCTTTTTTATTATTTTAAATCTTAAGAATTACATTTATTTTTATTTCAGCTTTAGTTTTAGTAATTTTAGTACATCAGCTTAATCTTATTTTATTTCAGTTAGTTGTCAAGGCAACATTTCTATTTTTTATATTTATGTTTTATTTCAGATTAATTTAAATTACTGAAAATATTTTAATAGTTTTAATTTTTTGTTATATACTAGATCTACACTGAACTGCATGGACAATAACAAAACTGGATCTAAATAGCCTTAATCGAGGAATCTCATGTGGAAAAAAATCACACATGAATATCTCAATTGTTTCTGATAGACAACAGTTAGATGAAAATGAGAACAAATGGAGATTTGCTTGCTTTTCAAAAATACACTAAAAATTTTCATGTCTCTCCTCAAAAAATCTGCAGAATTTAGCAAACTGTACTTAGATTTACCAAAATGCCAAAGTCTGAAATACCAAATTTGAACTTTGATATTTCTCACTAAATGATCTGAGCTATGTAATCCACATATTTTATAGCTTTATACTCGTAGTGTACATCAACAATTTTCTCATTTGTTTCCATTTTTATACCTCCTAAAGAATTTTAGACTAAACATCTGAGACTGTTGATACTTAAAATGAAACACAATCCCCTAAGCTATGAAAGAGCCATTACATTTTCCTCTAGGATGGAATCATGGAACTGCTTTTAGTTATTATTAGTGAGTCAAGTCACATCTATCATTTATTTACATTAATTATGTACATTTGTCACATGTTTCTTCTGCAGAAGAAAATGATTAAATGCACCAAAAGGGCAATAATGGCTATTTTTTGCACTCTGTCTTCATCTCCTACTGACGTTGCATCAGTGTGGTTTCAGCTGTAATTCAGCTGGACAAAGGACACAAAAATACATTTAGATGATGTTACACCCTGTTCTGGGAGCAAACAAAAACTGTGACTGTAAATATAGCATGAAGACAGGTTACAAAAATACACATTTGCACACGTTGATGCATCTGACCCAAACAAGTCTTTCCCTGTCTCAGGTTTTAGTTTTAGTTACAATAAGATATTTTCCCTATTGTCGATGTGGAGAGCAGATTGGTTTATTGTGACTGTCAGTGAGGCGGTTGCATATTCAAAGCTTAATGAGACCACAGAATAATGGATTTTTTACCAGAATCAGCTTTTGGATGCAAAGTAGCATTTATGGTTTTTGTAAAAGCCTGGAAAACGATTGTACTGCCATATTTTGAAGGCTTACTTCCTCTGTGCTTCTCTCTTTTTCACAGATTAAAAACGTAGCAGCCATGTTGTCGGTCTATGTGGCTTTTCTGTTTCTCTGCACTGCCCACCTGCCACTTGACTCCTCCGCCCTTCCCTTTGAGCAGAAAGGATTCTGGGACTTTGGCAAGGACATTGATGTGAAAGAGCTGATGATGATGATGAAGGACCAAGAAGAAGGGTCAGCTGTGGATCCATACCAGCCGGAACATCCTACATGTCCATTTGGCTGTCGGTGCGACCTCAGAGTTGTACAGTGCTCGGATTTAGGTGGGCTTAAGATGATATGTGTTTGCAAAAGTGTCTTGGTATAGACAGACAAGATAATAACTATTTAGTCTGAGAGGTTTGGCTTCTAGACCCAAATTTTATATTGGACAACACAGTGCCAAAATTGTTTACTGCACAAATGTAAAAAATGTCCTTAAAACCAAATTTTGAAATATATAATTAGCATGAACTGCATAGCCCTAAAAATATGAAAAAAAAATATTAATATGGCATGCACAGGATGAATATAAAAACTGAAAATACTATTGGCTGTCTGAAAGCTTTTTTTTTTTTTTTTTTGGTATACTAAATATAGTATAACAATTTATTTATTTTATTTTATAGCTATTTATTTTTATAAAATTTTTATTATTTCATACAATCTTTCATTATCAGAACAAACTTGTGACCCGTTTTTGGGCTGCAACTCACCATTTGGTAACCACTGGTGTAAAGAGTGAAGTTACACTGGTTTGTGATTAGGATGGGTTGAGTTACAGGATATCCCCTTTATATCACCCATCTTATCCCAAAATTACTAGTCTGTGACATCAAGCAAAGATGAAAGACCTATCCTATCATTTTTTCCAATGACATGAATGAATGTGGTATGAAACACAATGATTTGAATATGAGTTATGAGGTATATATATAAAACGAGATCAAATATAAATCAAAGTTGTGGCTGAAAGTATAGGGAAAGTGAGCAAGAAATATTGGCTGAAAGCTAAACAGAAATGTCAGGTTTTAACATCCACATCAAAGGCCTGAATGAGATCAGGATCAAATTTAGCTTGAGAACGGATACCAATTCAGACACACCGCTAATCTGGCCCATCCACATCAGACAGCATATGTGGTGTGTGGTCAGTCACCTGAGAAGACAGACATTCTGGTTATTCTACTCGGTACAGCAAACGTGCCATAAACTATGATGTCGGTCACCAGGAATGATGAACTTCAAAGCAAACGGACAATTTCTGTAGATGCCAGGTACCACCCAAGCACAGCTGCCCTCTTTCCTATCTCTATTTTATGAAGTTCATAAAATACTAAGCTATTCTCCTCTTTTTTTCTCTCTTTCCACGTTGTAATGTGCTACGTGGAGCCATGGTCATCTGGCTCCATCTTAATTATATGGGAAGCTTAGAGGGGAATGCTAGCACACAACAACAGAGCAAAGCAAACACAGAGTCTCGAAGCCCAGAGAATTACCAAACATTTCCGAAATTATAGCCCGCTGAAAAGTTTACATGTGAACTCAAAGACTCGGATGGTAAACCCTGAAGAAACTGTTTCTTAAATGAACTGCCTTCCTACTGTCTAAAGACATCATAATTCTATAAACCAAGTGGCATCTGAGGTGGCGGGTGGGGGTCGACGAATATAGTGTCTATTATTATGGCTCTATGAAATACTTGATTTTGATTGGATATCTGGATAGATATTTCCTCATATATGCTATCATCCATCCATGGCAACGCTGTATAGGCTGCCATTTATAGCTTTTAAATTAAGCATGTGCCTGTATGCCATTTTACTTTCATAATGTGACATAATGTGAATTTTTAACAAGAAAATAATTAGGGGAGGACTTTTTCATTTTATTCATCAGCAATTCATTGGATTATGAAATGTGGGCGTTGCATACCAGAAGGGAGACAGGTGCTGGAGGAGCGAGGCAGAAAAATAAGAGGGTTTGGTGATGTCTGCTGAAAAGGAAAAATTATGAAGACAAACTTTTATTTCTTTGGAATTACACGCACCAATAAATCACACAATACAAGACCATAAAGTGTATTAAAGTAAATTGAGTCATTTTGATTTCATGTTGAGTTTCCATTACCCTGAAAAAAATGAATTACCATTGAAGCCTAAACAACATTTGATCCACAATATAGATTTTTTTTTTCATATCTCATTTCTAGCAATGTATCTGTTCTTGTTTGTTTATGCATTATTCCCCAACAGGTTTAGGTTACGTGCCATATGATATTCCTAAAGACACACTGCTGTTGGACCTGCAGAGCAACAGGATCACAGAGATCAGGGAGGGAGATTTTAAAGGAATGACCAATCTCTATGTGAGACCTAACATATCTTCATTTCATAATTTGCATCATAATCACATTTGCTTTCTTTTTGTGAATTCATTTAGAAATGCAATATTGTGCTTAATGTTAATAAAAGTTCCCTCATCGTCCCTGTCCTGTTTCAGGCCCTGGTGTTAAGATATAACCAGATTGCCAAAGTTCATCCCAAGGCATTCCTCCCTTTGAAGCGTTTGCAGAAGTTATACATCTCGCACAACCTTCTGACTTCCATCCCCAAAAACCTGCCTCCATCCCTTGTGGAGCTGCGTATCCATGACAATCATATCAAGAAGGTGCAGGCATATAGCTTCTCGGGCCTCCACAACATGCATGTCATTGGTAAGACTGTGTGTTTGTCTGTGCGTTTGATTAATGATGTCCAACAGACCTTAGTCAGGTTAGATGCCATATTGAATTTAACGCAGATGAGGGATCACAATGCTTTCAAAACTGTTTTACGGTGTCTACGGTGTCTACTTTTGTCTACCGAAAGTGTTTTGTTTTTTTTGTCAGCTGAACATTAGTACAATCCATTGAACACAATATGTGCTTCTATCCCTCACAGCCTCATTTTCATTCCTGTCACAAATTAAATACGGCACTAGCCTGACTAAGGTCTGTGGTTGTCCTGTAAAGTTGCTTTCTTCACTGATAAAATACGCTATATAAATAAAAACTAAACTTACTACTAGACTTGATCTGTGCCTCAAACACTGGTTGATATTGCAGAAATGGGTCGTAATCCACTCCAGAACAGTGGTTTCGAACCTGGAGCATTTATGGGCCTTAAACTTAACTACTTGCGCATTTCTGAAGCCAAACTCACCGGAATTCCCAAAGGTAATGAGAATGATGGTTAAAACTGAATATAAATTTAATTCATTGACTTAACTTACTGCCATTCTCTTTGGCATTTTTTCATAAGTTTAATTAGTAAATGGGTTCATAAGAATCCTGTATTGTATATACAGAATAGTGGTGTACTTGTTTTACAGAATACAAAATTATTTTCTACATGGAATGTGTCCCATTCTTTTTCTAAACACAATGCAACTTATTCTGTTCCATATGGAATGTGTCTCATTCTTATCAGACCTTCCCAGTAGTCTTCATGAGCTTCATTTGGACAATAATCAGATTCAGGCCATTGAGTTGGTGGATCTCAGCCAGTACACCCAGCTGCAGAGGTAAACCCTACACATTCCTACTTATTTGGTGTGATTAATATATGTAAACAGTTTGCATTTGTTTCTACTGTTACATAAAATGAAACATTTCCCTTCAGTTGAACTTTTTACATGGACTTTTATGACATAAAATTGGCTTTGGGTGTCCTCTAGTGGCTAAACCCAATCTCTTTCTGTGTTTAGGTTGGGACTTGGCAGTAACCAGATTCGCCACATTGAGCATGGTGCTTTATCTTACCTCACCGACCTGAGAGAGCTGCACCTTGACAACAACCGTCTGTCCAGTGTGCCCAGTGGACTGCCTCATTTGAAGTATCTGCAGGTGTGTTTGTGTACATGATTCTACTGATTCTAGTTCATTTTTACTATATAAACTAAACCACACTCTCCTTACAGGTTGTCTACCTCCATTCAAACAACATCACTAATGTTGGAGTGGATGACTTCTGCCCTACGGGTTTTGGGATGAAGAGGGTGTTCTACAATGGCATCAGTCTCTATGACAACCCAATCAGGTATTGGGAGGTGCAGCCCGCTACATTCCGCTGTGTCAGTGACCAAATGGCTGTACAGTTTGGCAACCACAAGAAATAAAAGATGCACAAAACCAATCCAGGAGGAGAACAAGAGGAAAACGGCCACAATTTGTGTAAATGAAGATATCTGAGTGAAGAAGATGAATGAACATTTTCATGGAGGCATAATTCGGAAGAAACGTGGACTCCATTTAAACCGAAGTCAAAGTCAAACCATTCTATTTAAAACTGAATATTGATGTGTGTAATTCCCTGCTGACTTTAATGAATATATAGGCTACTCCACAAAAATGCCTTTCTGTTTAATTTAGTTGACATGCAGCATTGATGATTCCTTAATTAACTCTCTGAGATGTCTATCAACAGCTTCATTTGCTTAGTTTTCATGGGTTGCATCTTTAAATAATGAGATAAAGTCACAGTTTGTCACTCTGGACAGCTGATTGTCATGCATTCATCATGGTAATACTGTAATAAAGTGGATTGTGTTGTGGATGTTTATCATGCCATCACAAGACATCCAACTTTAAAGGTGACACGCTTATTTATTTCTAACTTTAAGTCAAGATCCTAAGTGCATTCAGTGGAATTAATAATGACCCTGCAGAGGTGGCAGGAGATTTGAAGGTGGAGTAGCTAACACTGCAAAGACAATGTCTTCACAAACAAGTCCTTCGAGAAGGGTTCGGAGATTTGATCAAGTTCTCGTACCCCATTGGCTACTCACACTGGGGCGTGTACGACGGAGATGGATACGTCACTCACTTTGCTGTTGCCGGTAAGCACGGGAACGTTTACTTTAGTACTAATAGGCCTACTAATTCTATAAAGATATAATCATGCTATACTAGACAATAATATAGCCTACTATATGAGTGTATGATAGTCAGATTACACTGTGACAACTTGGGACACACACACACACACACAGAGAGAGTTGGGTAGTAGATTCCAAAAATTAAGTACTAGTAATTAGATTAAAATACATTTTAAAATACTCGTAATCAGACAGTTATTTTTTTATTGATTACATTAAAACATATTGTTCACACAATAGCAATAAATTATTCATAATTTATTGATTCTCCCTAATTCCTGTTTTTCATGTTTAAATGTTCCTTTCTAAAATAGCCTACCACTTATATAGGCCTACATTCAGAACGTCTTACAGTTGTGTGGACATTCACACAAAGACCAGTCACTACACAGACAAATGAGAGAGGCCACACAGCATTTGGCCACTGGATTTACAAAAATCATTTTCATTTTAAGAAGTGTTTTCTCAACATTTCAACTTTGCATCAACTACTGATGAACACATTCATTTTTGTTTGAATTATCACTCAGTAGGTTATTTAACCATGTATTACTATGTCTTTTTTCTTTCAAACACATTCAAATGCACAAATTCACGTTATTTCTTATTTACATGTAATGCAGGGATTCCCAAATTTTTTGTTAGCATAATCTCTTTCACCTATTATATTTATTTGAAGACCGTCTGAGATTTTAAGGTAATAAGATAGTACTTAAGTATTTGCATGTTCACAGTTCTGTGATGTTGGTTAATGGTTACATTACATGCAGGTGAACAAATTATTGCATTTTTTAAGTAAGTATTTTATTTTGATTGTTGTTATTTTAAAATGATTTATTTTAATTTGACATTTTTATGATTTAATTATTAGCTTTTCATTAAACTCGCGAACACCCTGCAGTTCCTTCACAAGCCGCAGTTTGGGAAACCTTGACGCAATGTAATGCTTAGTGCACTTCATTAATAACAATAATAACAAGAAATGTGATACATTTTCTTTTCCTTTGCATTTTTATATCAATATGGTACAAGATTATCCTATTTAAGTCAATTTGATAAATGAGTTAGGCCAAAAGTAATCTAAAAGTAATCAAAACGTAGTCTGATTATATTACCTAAAATGTGTAATGTAATGAATTACTTTACTAACTACATTTTTTGTCATTTAATTTGCAATCAGTAACAGATTACAATGTTCAAGTAATCTAGCCTATATATATATATATATATATATATGTAAGGAATAATTGTATGTGTGTATGTATGTATGTATGCATGTGTCTCACAAACTGCCTTATTTTAAATTTGCTTTTTCCAGGTGAAACTCAGGTGATGAGTACGTTTTGAAGTTGTCTGCAGGCTATCTTCCCTGTTTGTGGTGACCTTTTGCTTGGAGAAACTAAGATACGGCGTCAGCCCCTGTCTGAAATTAACGTACCAAAAGGAGCTTGCAGTTTAACGAAAGATCATTATCATTATGTGTTCTGTACATTTGAGTTATTCTGACATAATGTTGATTCCTTTGTTTTAACAGATTCCAGGGAAACCCCAAAACAAGGAATGTGTGAATGCTAGAAATATTTAGCTACCTTGTGCCATCAAGTTAACCTACTGAATGCCAAGAACTACAAATTATCACAAGAATAATATATTATGTTTGAATAAAGATATTTCTCCCACACTCATTAAACCAGTTAAGACTCCTGTTTGATGTCACGGGAAAGGGTTCTTCACACTGATCTGTAATACTCAGGAAGACCAGCTAAGCAGGGTCTTTTTGAGCAAAAATGTAGTCAAAATGTACATAGAATGTTTAGTAAAGGTGTTCACATGTTTCTGACTGTCCTTTTCACATTTCTAACTAATATGGCAGATACCATTACTAACCACAGTTTATACAGTTACAAAGACACCATGAAATTGCTTGACAAGTGCAGATTTCTTTCCTGTGCTGATCCATTGTCTATTACAACAGAAAGTCTGGGAAATATCTAAGGGCTCATGCCTTTTTAAATAGCCAACACCCAGCAAACATTCCCCTAATGTTAGCATATGGTTCGCATTTAATTATTTTTTTGGGATCCAAATAACAATGATCAAAGAACGTTCTCTGTAGCTTATTTGTTGTAACTTATTAGTTAGCTGCAGGTGAATGAATAATAGGCTATAAGTTTTAATAAGTATATCTGCTAAAAGTGAATTTCCTGTGTAGAAAAAAAAAGCCATTTTGATTTTATTGAATTCAAATCAGCTACAACTGCAAAGAAAGAAATTAAACAGAATTATCAAGATTTCTCACAGGGTTTAAGATGAACCCATTTTATTGTTTAAGTTTTTACATTAGTAACAATGACACTGTGGTTATCATGGTGATTTTTCATAGGTAAAGGGGCAATGCAGTGTTGTGTTTTTCATCATTAAAAAAAATAAATAAATATATTCTATACAAAGACCTATTCTCGTTTCTTGTACATTTATTCGTAACCGCCTAAAAAAGCCTATTTACACACCACAAGAATTTATTGTTTAAGACGAAGTGTTTCCTACATTCCCCGGATGTTGCCCCACGCTTGCTCATGTCCCGGATGTACCTACATTTTAGTAGAGGAACAAAAAATGGGCTCATTATCAAGCTTCACCAAACCGTTTAAATTATCCCCACACACGATTATTGTACATGTATGAGGACCAGACCGCAGTTTTGAGCAGAGTCCACGTCCATAGTCTCCGTGTCTGTAAAGAGATTCATGAAATTGAAGAGGTAAGACAGTTGTGTACATTCAGTGTTGCTACACGCTGTTGACGTTAGCAAGCCAACAGTCAGTTGCTAAGCGAAGTTTATATCAATAACAAATAACGTTTAAGTATTCTTTAGGGATATAGAAACATTAGAGGGCATCACAACGAAATATTGACGGTAAAATATATGTTTTCTTAAAAGATCACGGTGTTCTTCAGCCTCTTCTTGTGTATGCTAAGCATCAGGCTAACACATCTGTCCAGATAGATTTCAGAAGATTGTTGATGTCTAACTGCTTATTCATCAGTCTTTTCACTGGAGTTTCTAGTCTCAAAACTTGCATATGAAAAGAGCATATGTTAGTGTTTTTAAAGGCATGATATGGAAGTCAAATGATTGATTCATTCAGCTATTTTGATTTTCACTCTCTTAAACATGGTAGATGTTAATTATTAAGCTAACCAGGTCAGTAACTTCACTGTTCCTCTGCCTAAATATTTTATCCACCGATATTTATTAGGTTTATTAGATAAAAACGGATCAAACAGGCTTAAATACAAGTTTTCTATAGTAGTTAAACTCAAATATGTTCTTAAATTGAAGCTGTAGATGTGATATCAAATATATAATTCTTATGATTTTAAAAGTAGATGAGTTATCAGAATATCTGTATGTTTTATTTGTATTTGTTATATCAGAATGTTTGATTTGATATTTAAATGTGATATCTAACTATATGATCTATATTATTTTAAATTTAGATGTGATATCAGAATATAAATAAATGTCTGTTTTTAATATATATGTGTAATTTCTGTAATATATTTTCTATGTGGTTTTGATACCAGAATTTATATATGGTAAATTGATATTAGAATATATAATCGTCATGTTTTTATATGTAGATTTGAATTTAGAATATATAATCTATATGGTTTTATATGTCAGTGTGATGTGAAAACATGATCTGCATGGTTTTGGATGCTGAATGATTGAGCAATGGCAGCTGACATTAAGTTTAGAAACACAGCTGAGCAATAGATCTGTTTAAAAAAAACAGTGTAAAATTAACCCAGGTCATGTAGTAATTTGTCCTAGTCTGATTATCATCTTTATCAATTTATTATTCAATATGTTATATGAATCTATAATACTGTGGTGTTGTTAGTGACCTAATGCTTGAACATTAATTCTGTCCTCTTCTAGAGTGAAGTTGGAGGTGAGAGTTGCGGGCCAAGTGTGTTGACACAGTTCAGGCTGCTTCACACTGCTGACAGGGCCTTCCGCCATCCCCCTCACCCATCATCTGCCTAGTGAAGAGTAATGACCTCACAGCAGCATGGGAATGCCAACCCTGCCCTCCTATCACCACAGAACTCTTCATCCAGTCAGGGCAGGCAACACATCTCTCGTTCCCCGATAGACTCGTATTCCCGCTCGGGGCTTTCCTCTCCTCGGAGAGGCTGGGTTGCAGCTTCCTTATCCGCAACAGCTCACGGTAACTCCCTTGCACTCTCTCTAAGCCGATTGGGTCCGGCGTCTTGCAGTAATTCCTCCTCATCTCGGAGACCTGCATCTGGCCGGGTGGAGCCGTGGCCAGAGGAGGCTGTGGACGACGCGTATGGGCTTTACTCTCTTCACCGCATGTTTGATATTGTGGGCGCGCAGCTGACGCACCGTGATGTACGTGTGCTGTCCTTCCTTTTTGTGGACGTTATTGACGAGTACGAGAGAGGAGGGATACGGAGCGGGCGGGATTTCCTGCTTGCGCTGGAGCGTCAGGGGCGATGTGACGAGACAAACTTCCGGCATGTTCTTCAGCTGCTCCGCATCATCACTCGCCATGACCTGCTGCCGTACGTTACGTTACGCAAGAGACAGACAGGTTTGAGATCTTGTCAATTTCACTTTTGACAGATGATTATTGTGTACAGTGAAGCTACAGTTTCATCACTCTGCAATATTTTTTGGCAAGGAGCACATGTAATGTGTTGCTAATTATTTTCCAGTGTGCCCAGATCCAGTGGATAAATATCTGGAGGAGACATCAGTCCGTTATGTTTCTCCCAGAGGAGCAGTAGAGGCCCATCAGGGAACTCCTCACAGAAGAACAGGTGTGTCCTGCATTAGTTGTGATTTAGACCTCTTAATGGTGCTGTACGCATTTTTGGTTTTGTGTTTTTTACTGAAATATCACATCGGTCACTCTGTAAACTGCAGAAATGTCTATAATTATTTGATAATTATTTGATTTTGATGCACTGTCAGTAATTTTGTGTTTTTACAGTGCAGCACATGTATGGGAAACAGGAAGTTTGGGTTTTGAAATGGGCAGGGTTTTGGATTAAGGGCGTGTCTTAATTCAGTGGCTACTGGTGTGTTCAAATCCTCCTTGAATTGTCGTGGCGTTCATATATGTTCAACTCATAAATACAATCTTTCAGATGTGACTTGAACGCACCATAAGTTTGAAAGAAGTTCCAGAATGACAAAAGGCTTGAATACACTACACAATGTTTACAATATGAAAAGATTTTAAATCACTAGGTATCATACACTTGCCGACTGTGTAAATGGTTATTACTCAGGATCACACACTACCAGACTTTCAACAAATTTTTAAATCAGGTCAAAATTAGTGGTCGACCGATATTGGTTTTTTGACAGCCGATGCCGATATCTTGGAAACCAGGGTGGCCGATATAAAGCCGATATAATTGTATTTATTTGAATGAATATTTAATAAATTTTGAAATCATTTGAAAATGGATTAAAAATAAATGTGTAAAATAAACATACTTATACTTTAGATGACAAAGTATTTTTCACAAATAAATATTTAATAAAAATATAATTAAAAAGGAAGTAAACTGTAACCAACAGAGCACTCAGTATTCTGGGAAGTTTGTGTGCATTGGGAATCATATTTTTTCAAATAAAGCCAAGGTAACACTAATTTTACATACAGCACACAGTGAAAATGACATGAATATGACAGTGGGCAAATGCATAAAGCGCAGCATAATTTGAAATCACAAATTTAATGTTTAAAGCATTCAATTTGCACGGACCGAAAGTCACGCAGAGAACACGCAATCATGCAGGTCACATGCACACTTCACAAGATCTCACAACTGGATTCGACTAAGTTTGCAAGGTTTGTGAAATTAAATTTTCATTAGCCATTCAAAGATTTGTTTAAATGATGTAAATGCGTAGCCTATTTGCTGAATGCTGACGGCAAACGAGAAAGTATTATGATGTTTGCCTTTCTATTACTAATAATACACTGAACAAAATTATAAATGCAACACTTTTATTTTTGCCCCCATTTTTCATGAGCTGAACTCAAAGATCTAAGACTTTTTCTATGTACACAAAAGGCCTATTTCTCTCAAATATTGTTCACAAATCTGTCTAAATCTGTGTTAGTGAGCACTTCTCCTTTGCCGAGTTAATCCATCCACCTCACAGGTGTGGCATATCAAGATGCTGATTAGACAGCATGATTATTGCACAGGTGTGCCTTAGATGCTGACTTATTGGAAAGCAGTGTGGCCGATGGCCGATATAATTTTATCTATAATTAATATTTAAGAAATTTAAAATTATTTGAAAATGGATTTAAAAATAAATGTGTAAAATAAACATACAGCGAACGACGACAACGAACAAGAGGGAGAATGTGAGCACAGGTGCTGCCGCTTTCAGCGCCATCAAAATAAAAGTCCCGCCTCGAACGCATCGGCCAAACAGAAAAACTTATCGGCCGATGCCGATATTTGAAAAATACCAAATTTTGACCACTAGTCAAAATATTAAACATGTTGGATATGCTCGGACTGTATGGAATTGTAGTCTGAAGCTAAAAAATCAGAGTCTGTGCTCATCATTAATTGTATGTTTTTCTGTGAAATCTGTCAACTCCAACTGTTGAATTTGGCAACTTGAGGAAAAAGCTACATAGTGTATTCCAACCTAATCATGATCAGTGAAAATGCATGTACTACAAGCGAGACAGACATCGTGGTAGTGATTTTTATTTCCTGTTTCTCAGGACCCCAGCCATTGATCTGCTGTCCTCCATCAGGACCCCAGGTGTGCCCACCACGTGCTAAACCCACCCCTCCTCCACCGAACAGGAAAAGGAAGAGATCTCACATGACAGCTGACTGCAGAGAAAAACAGACCTGTGGTAAGACAACAAATCTGCTGAAGAACATTTATAAAAAAAATTTAAAAATGCACGCACAACTTGCTGAAAGAGAAGGTTTAACTCCATGGACTGTAGGGCTCAATGCTAACGATTGTTCAAAGTTTTACTTGCCCTGCCAATATTTTCACTGGCCCTGCCACAAAAAATTGAAATAGTTGCTGTTATCATTGTTTTTGACCCATGCTATCTTTTATTCTAATAAATAGGCTTATATGACACCAACATTTTAGATACCAATTAAATTGTACAATTCTCAATTCTAATTTCCACAGCAAAAACTACTAGCCTAACAAATATAAAGTACAAACATTATTAAAGACAAGTGAACAGTCAGTAAATAAGAACAAATTACAAGCAATAGCACAATGGAATATATAGAACAAAGATACAAATGAAATTATGCTTTAGGAAGAACAGCAGACGGGCTGAATGAGAACGCAAATTCTGAAAAAAACTGGTCTGTGGGTAAAAACTGAACAGTGTAGAGCTGCTTTATAGTAGCAAATTAAGTTTTGCTTTTGATGAAATGAGACCCTGACACTGCTGCTTGCTTTTAAGCTGTATATTGAATAAAGTGCCATGTAAATACACGTGACGTGACTTCACGGGAGTGCTAATTTGCAGAGCTCGTGCAAACATACCCATGTTGCTATGAACAGATAAAAAAAAAAAATGCTTGCTGTTCTGTCCATTTTTGTTGTGTTTATTTTATTACTGAGAGGAAAGCACGCAGCACATATTTACATAATCATTTAAACGTTGCTTTCATCAGAGTGGGCGGCGTCGGAATGTTCGATAACAGTATACCACTGCTCACGAATTTCCCCTTAGAGATGCATTCATATAAACCCCCACCCCAAATTCTTCCAATATTTTGTGCATCGTGAACAGTGATCTTGCTCTGCCCACTACAGTATTTTCTCCTCTTATTTTCTCCAGCATTTTCTCCTCTTCTCCTCTTTCGTGTTGACGCAGCAGTGGCCCGATGGCCATCGGGCAGTCCTTATTGTCGAGCACTGGAATAGGTCATAAGCAATTTGCCCATAAAACTTATTTGTTTTATTTACACGCTCATGCAATGATAAAACCCGTTTGGTTCAGGCTTCTTGGTGGCACACCCAGTGACTCTAATAAAACGAACCTCTTGGCAACCTCTTAAAATTGTTGAAAGTTTCTTTAAGCCAGTCAATCATATTAAAACTTATTACTCAGACCTTGCCATTTTTGGGTATGTATCATATTCTCCATGGATGTGCCATTTGAGCATTGAGCACTGACAAGCAATACTCCTGAAATCGGTGTGTCCTCTGTAGATGGATATAAAAGCCACTTTGTTTTTTTTTTTGTTGTTGTTTGTTTTTTTAACCTGCTTCCTTGTCTCACAGACATACGACTGAGGGTGCGTGCGGAGTACTGTCAGCACGAGTCGGCTCTACAAGGAAACGTCTTCTCCAACAAGCAGGAGGCGCTGGAGAGGCAGTTTGAGCGGTTCAACCAGGCCAACACCATCCTCAAATCCCGGGACCTGGGTTCCATCATATGTGACATCAAGTTCTCAGAGTTGACCTACCTGGACGCCTTCTGGCGGGACTACATCAACGGCTCACTTTTGGAAGCCCTGAAGGGCGTTTTCATCACAGACTCTCTGAAACAGGCAGTGGGCCATGAGGCCATTAAGCTCCTGGTGAACGTGGATGAGGAAGACTACCAAGCTGGCAGGAGGAAGTTGCTGAGGAATCTAGTGGCAGGAGGTGCCAGTGCAGGGACAGGGAGCAGGGAGGGTCCCTTTTCCTAGTGGTGGGATTGACTCGGTAAGTGGAGGAAATTCAGAGAGACCCTGATGAGAGATTGAACACTATTGAAAAGGTATACATGGGGGAAGGGAAAGAAGAGTGAGGAATGTAAGCAGAGAGGAATTGACTCTAAAAAGAAAGAGACCCTACAGGCGGCTGGAATTTGCATGTGGATGGAAAGAGGTGTTAAAAGTGTTCTGGAAAGTTTTATTTTGAGTATCTCAAGTTGTGGAAATAAAAGATGAAGGGAGAAGTATCGGACAAAGAAGGCATTTAGTTTCTTTTGTCTTTATTCCTGCGTAATTGACACTAATGCTTTTGTTTTTAGGTTTGTGTGAATTAGTTTTTTTTTTGTGCTACTTTTCCATTTAAGTCTTGTTGCACAGCCATTTGCTCTTAGTGAAATACTCTTGGTTAAATGAAATGTTTGCCTCAACGTTTAACAAAGAGGACAGGTTGCATAAGGTTTAATTGACTGATTTGCCTTTAAAACATCACATGCTTCAATTCATTATGGAATAATTCCTCTGTCAATGTCGTCTAGCCATCCATGTTTGAGTTTTTCTGGATGTAAACTTGCAAAAGCAGAATCTCAGTTTCTATGAAAAATCACACACAATCTTTATCGCCCACTGCACCATTGCACTTCACTTTGGAATTGTGACTACTTTAAAGAGAACACATTCTCCATTTGTTTCATCACTGAAGTTATTGCACAATTGGTTTCGTTTTAGCAAATTCACAAGGGGACGTAGACCAACATCTGAAGATTCTGAAGCATGGAGAATTGGTTTTCAGAATGGTTTATGATATGCTTTGTTGCAGCTTGTGTTTTGCTGCATGTCCCTGCAATTTTCTTTTTCTTTTAGTTATGGAAAAAACCTAATAACGTTGGCAAATGTTCACTCTTGTTTGAATTCGCAACTTAATCTGTGCTCTTTGTCCAGAATATTCCAAAAAGTTTAAGATATTTGGGCTCTATAGGCCTATTAATATCCATGTTTGGAGCAACTTAGCTCTGCAATTAATCTTCGTTGTTTTTTATTGGTTGAATTTCTGGGCAGAGCGTTCGTTGCATCACTAATGGTATAATACAGAGATATGCCTTTGTAAAGTTGAAATGCATGTGACGGCAGTATTGAATTGAATTGGCTACTTCTGTTCAGTCCACCAAAAAAAATAATTTGGTAGTTCTGAGAGTTCTAGTAAAAAAATATTTGTACTGTACTGTTATCACTAGTTTAAAATGTAATCTCACTTGGAACAAGGTAGTACACGTAACAGAAGCTGAACTTTTTTTCTTGACTCATGATTTTGGGGTGCTCCTTAATAGCAGATTTTAATGTGCTATATATTTATAATTTCTACTCATTTGAATTCAAGCAAATGTGTCCTGAGAAATGGCCTCTGCCAGGGTTTATATGTTGAAATAATCTGCTGTAACGTCTGTCTAACAAGTCTGGAAAGATGACAAAATGTGCCGACCTGTGTTTTAACATGACTGAAGTGAAAGAAAAATGCCTGAGCAACATGCAATCGCAGGAAGATGTATAATTTGACTGACTTGATGTTTTTGCTATACTTTTAAAATACCAAAGCTGTTCCCAGACATTCATTCTCTCTTTAATCTCTCTCTCTCTCTTATTCATTCTCTCCTCCATCTGTTAAGATATAATGAAATATTGAAAGAAAATTGGTGACTTGTGGGGTGAGTGGAACAGAAGTTTAGTAAAGTTAGCTGTGGATCAATTACTGCTATTATTATTACAGAAGGAAGAAAAGCATTTTGTAATGTTTTCCTAATGGAACTAAACAAAGTTACAGACTGGTATCTATTATATAGGTTACATGTTCTATTGATTGTGTTCAAGTGTTTGTCTTTATATCTTGCATGTATATGACATTGATCCCCTTAAATATCACACAGTGACAATTGAGCTGTGGTCTGTAGATTTGAGATATCTAGACATTTCTAACCTTTTTTATACTTTGTTTTTCATAGAGAAAGAAATGGAATTGCTACTTTTTGGAGAGGTGAGATGAGTATTCTCAAAGTGACACAGTAGAACAGATGAAGACGGAGCACTTTATTTTTTACTCTCTCTCAAGTGTTTCACCTGTTGTAACCATATATAGTAATACCATTCCAAAATGTAGGAGACGTTCGGCATCATCGGCCATCTGTCACATTATGACTCTGATTTTTGAATAATTTTATTTTTGTTGACCATGCCAGTGGTTGTGTTAAGTGAAATATTAAACCGCTGGTTCATTCAATGTCTGTACAAATCAATAAAACAAACTGAAAAAATACAGTCTGTTGCAGTTCCTTTTTTAAAACAAAAATGTCCTGTTAGCAACACATTAATTGACCAAATGTATTTGTATGAACCTTAAAGCTGATGTGTGTAATTTTATGTATATTGAAATTTCAAGTTAGCCATTCATAGATTAGTTTTCCCAAAAAGTGCAAACATTGGCTCTGTGGCGTCATCAAAACACTGCTCTGTTTGTTTGAATTGCCTGACCTAGCAACATTCTCAACCAAAAGTTGAGAAGATTACCTGTTTTTTTTTTTCTTCAAACAATGGCAGATAGGGGGAGGGTTTGGGAAAGTTGTTTTGAAATTGCAATTCTGTAGAAATCTAGAATGTGGTTTAATATCATATTGAAGTTATCCGTTAGCATTCTTATTTATCTACGTGGCAGTTGCTTATGCTGAGTTCTGCTGCCTGGTTTTGAGCCGATCATCTTTGTTTGATCACTCTGAACAACACTGTTTGAATTTTGACTTAAATGTTGCTTGTAAAATTAGAAAGATTTTTTATTTATTTAAGCAGATGGAATAGTTACAACATCTACCAGCAGGGGCTAACATGCAACTAATCAAACCTTTCCACATTGAAAGGGATGCTTAGAGCACCAATAATGAAATCAGCCTATATAAAAAAACTAGTGTTGCCAAAGACATGTCTTCAGTCTTTTTTAGGTTTCCTTTTCTCGACAAAAACTTTCAGCAAAGCCTTGCTCATCAAAACCAAGAGCAGGCAAACTGCCGTAAACAAACTCACTATCAGCATTAAGATGTCCACGCAGTAGTAGGAATACCAAGGAAGCCTGTAGGACTCGGTGCGCAAGTGTGCCGCACCTTTATGCCTCGACAAACTCCAGCCAAAAGATGGCACTGTCCATTGGTTTGAGCGGAGTGTCACGATGTAGGCTTGACATTCTGCGCATGTTCTTCTGGTAGGGTTGATTTTCATCCAGGATGTCCTTTAGGGCTTGTGTTAGGATATCTACATCCAGGGTTGCGACGTCAAGCACTTGAGCCACCCCTCTGGCTTCCAGGCGAATCATGTTGTCAAATTGGTCGAAGATGAGCGGAAGTCCGAGCATTGGAACGCCGTGGTAAATCGCCTCGTAGATTCCATTCGTTCCTCCGTGTGTCACGAAAGCTTTAGTTTTAGAATGGGCTAAGAGGTCATTCTGAGGCAGCCAGTCCACTATCAGTGTATTGTTCCACAATTTAGATGGCTTTTCTCCTACATGTCTCCAAATCACCTTTTGTGGCAAGCGAGCAAAAGCAGAGGCTACGACTTCGGATATGTCAGGACCCAGACTTCCAAGCAGAGTACGCAAAGACATGATCACCACCCCGTGCTCTCCAGAACTCTCGACAAACTTCTCCAATTGATTTGGTAGAGGTTTGGATGGTTTGCACTGGAAGCCACCAATGTAGACCACATTGGGCATAGTAGGTCGAGAGAACTCGAATACAAAATCGACTCGCATGGGCCACAGATCCGCTCCTTGGATCAGAGAGTACACATTGGAGTTTGGGTCTATGTATTTGCTGATAACTCCTTGATAATGAGGCCTTGTGATCAAGTGGTCTATGTATTGGCCGATTCCAAAATGTAAGATATTTTTTATTTTATTTGTAAAACTCATTTTATCTGTCACTCTAGATCCGATAGTCGGGATGTAAGAAAGTGGCGAGGGTGCAATTGCAAAGTGCCCTTCTCCATTTGTTATCCATCGTACATTGAACACCATTGGTAGACCCAAGTACGTGCCCAGTATGACACCTCCTGCAAAACCAGGATCAGTTAGCATCAAATCATACTTGGACTCTTTAAGTGTTTTTACAAGCTTTTTATCCTCTAGAATGGTCCTCACCATCTCAGCAGAAGACTTGTGAGACTCTTCTAGAAGAGTAATTACTTCTTTCTGCAGGGCCATGAATGACCAAACAGATCCTTCCCCTCTTTGAATGTCAATGTTTCTCTTAAGAAAGGACGCCATGTACTCGGGGTCCTCCAGGCTAGTGAGATGATCGGCATAGATGGTGATTGGCGTATAGTGTGTGGTGTTCTCTGGGATGTACCAGCTGTTAGCAGAACGGACAACTGTCAGTTTATGACCTCGCTGATGAAGTTCTCGCAGCAAAATGTCCATGTTAAGTGGTGTACCCAGTGGCTTCCATCCACTGGGTACACTAGGCTCTTCCCAGCCAGGGAAGGTGGTGGGACACTCCAAAGGAAGGCAACAAGGGCAAAGATGTGGGGATGCAGCAGCATTGTCTGAAAATATATACTTGATTAGGCATTCATTTTGATTTGGGAACAATGCAGGTCTTGACTTTTTGCATTTGTAGATAATCAAAATATGGCCAATAGAAAAGGTGTAAATTGGAAACCAATATTGGTCCAATGTTGTTTGGACCTCTTGGACTTTTTAATATATATATATATATATATATATACAGTATATATATATATATATATAGGGCTGGGTTTTGACACAAATTTCACGATTCGATTCGATTCTCATTCACAAGCTTTCGATTCGATTACCCCTCTCTACAGTTTATTTTTCTATCTGACTAATGAGTTTATGGTCACCAAATATGTTTTTCTGAGGTAAATGTGACATTGTTTACAAGACGACATCTCTGCGCGGCTGAAACACTGATTGAGCGATTACATGAGACAGGATATGGATTGTAAAGTTGTACTCTTTCTTTTAACTTACATTCGGATGTTTAGTCGTGTTTATTTTGCGCTGAAACTGGTATTAATGTGGAGGAGATGATTAGTTCACGTGCGCCTCGCGCTGCCGCGTCTGTTGAACTTCAAAACGGCATTTATTGTTTGAATACTGCAAAAAAAACAATGAAGCACAATTGTTAGTTTATCTAAAGTCATTTTTGCTTATTAGTATGGTTGAACTGGATCAGCAAAGGTCAGCAGCAAAAACATTGGTTAATAAACTGGGATTAGATACATTTGTGTTATTTAACATATTTAATTATTGCAGGTTTGCATCATATTCTGAGTTTGCATTTCACTGTTTTAATTCATTTTGATGAATAGCAAATCTGTGTTTTTGTGAGTGGGATGAATTAATGCACATTCACATTTAGTCTAGAACTACATCATGTTCACACAACGCCTCTGTACTTCCGATTTCTCCCAATATGGGGACAGGAGACTTGTCAGACAATAAATGGGAATACAAAGTAACTGTCGTTACTTTTTTGAAAAAGTAACTCAGATATTTTCTTGTAAATTAAAAAAGTAATGTGTTACTTTACTAGTTACTTGAAAAAAGTAATCTGATTACGTAACTCGCGTTACTTGTAATGAGTTACCCCCAACACTGGTTCTGGAGAAGAAAGTCATACAAGTTCAGAATGACATGAGCGTAAGTTAATCATGTCAGTTTTTTTTTAATTTTCCCTTTAAGAATGATCATTGCTTTAAAATACTGAAAACGCTTATTCAAAATCATGTATAAACATCCTTTTGATTCTTAATTTGCTATTTTGTAAGCCCAAATAAATAGACAGATTAGTATGATTACAGAAAGAAGACAGTGTAGTATAATATGTTAACTCTTTTTTGATAATATTGTAGTTAGTTATAATATGAGTATTATACCTGTACCATATATGATTACAAACTGACATCACTATCTCAGTGGGCTGCCCCCTTTACACTATCTGAGATAATCACTGCACATTGACCTGGCACTACTACACAATCTCACAATCACATTGTACAGTTTTAAGAGTTCACAGTTTGAATGAGAGTAACTAAAGGTACTAGAGTCCACAGATCATGTAACTAACACAAATATATGTCCCTGACATGTATGCTAAATAGATGCGTTATGTAAAGGTTATTCATCTGAGGT